GGGTATAGGTGTGAAGGAAGGAACTGGAAGGTGGAATTGGGTTGGCTAGCTCTGAAAGGAGGGACCTTCACTCCAGGAAGGAGGGAAATGAAAAAAAAATGAAGGCAATGAAAACATAACTGGAAGGAAGAGTATCTGGGGTGAGAAGTCACACAATAGGCTTGATGGGGAGGGAAATGAGGAGCTTGCCAAGGGGCAGAGGCTGAGGGAGAGCAGTAGGGAAGGGTGCGAGGCAGGGGGAGAGCTTTGAACAGGGGCTGGGAGTTGGGCACAATTGGCAAATTCAAGGGTACCGGGAAGAAGGGTGTTCACGGGAGCTTATAGGGAAGAGCAGAAGACTGCAAAGAGCGTCTGGTATGCTTGATGTATGAACTGTGCAGGGGCTGCGGATGGTGTAATTGCCAAGTTATTCAGCTTCAACTTTGTTTTCTTTTACAAAACTTAACCACCCAGAGCAATTTGGCTTGCAAAGCTTGTAAACTTCTGGAAATTAAATGTACATACTACTTCTGACTAGCTGTCCGTCCAAGTGCAGTACATCTTTTACTGTGCACCTGTACCTGTAAGGAAGTTTTTTGTTACGTATACTCAAGATGCAACTAATAAATTATCACTTAGTAAATCAAAACTTTTTCCAGAAGGGACTATACTTTTCAGGTTGCTGATGCTAAGTTTGAAAGCCTCGCATTAAAGGAACAGCTTAGAACTGGTTACAGTGAAAATTATTATAGCAAGTGTTTTTTAAATAAAAATATAAGTTAGAGAAGTTTATTCTGCTTTTGCTCTCTAATAACAAATATATTTTGTTTAATTATTCATTTCTTGTTCTCCCTCCCCCAGTCTTCTCCCTCCATTAAAGCATATCATATTTAGGCAGAAGTGGTTTATGGAAAGTTAAGCTGAAGGAAGGATAAATGCTTGGAAAATTAGGTAACCTGGAAAAGAAGGTTAAAAACTATCTTCTGTAATAAAATATGAAAGTATTTTACACCCTCCCCCCTTATTTGGCTCTAGAGATGTATAAAATTTTGACTTTGAAAAATAACATTCTAACATTGTAGGGGATGTTTCTGACTTTGGGTTAATAACATTTGAATATTTATGTATCTGTGAGGATGGTTTTTGGACACAGCTGTTTAACAGACCTCAAAATTGTTGCGTTTTTTTTGTCAAGCCACAGAGCTATGAAGTTAAGCATGCTGTTGACACAAATACCTAGATAAACTGTACCTAAAGGAATGAAATATGTAGTATTTTATTAAGCGAGATCTTAATCCTGCTTTTAATTTCTATCAGTTGGAGATTTGCCATGAGCTTTTGTGGATGTGGGATCAAACAGCTTTATAATAATGTTACAATGTGAACCATACTGCTAAAACTGGAGTCACAGAGCCCTTTGTTGCAAAGTTTGTGCAATTGTCTGTTAGGGCTGAGGTCTTCAGGTAAATGCAGCAGGTTTTGCTGAACTTTCTCCTTTATAGAAATTGTTTAAGTTGTTGATTTTTTCTTTTCAGTATTTTGGGGGCAGATAAGGTTTAATTACTTCTCGCATTTATCAAGCAGACTGTCAAGAAAGCACGTCAGAACAAAATGGTTTGTGCAGGGAATTAATGGAGAGGTGGTGGTACCTGCTGACAGGTATTTTCCAAGGAAAGAAATAGTTTGCAGCTAGAGGAAAAGTGTTAAAGTGTACCCAAACCAGTAATTCAAACCAAAAGAGCAACCTTTGATCCAAAACACAACTTAGGTCATATTTTAATGAATAGCTTTATTAAACTAGTTTATTAAACTGATATTATTCTGTCAGTTAGTACATTTTATTTGCAGAAAATTGGATCTGTCTAAGGGTATCTGACATGCACTACAGTGATGCTGTTTTAAATTAAACTTTTAGCTTTAATGTATGTATTTAAAGGAATGTTTTCTTGTATTTAAAGGAATGTGCTCAGCTGCCACGCTGACATTTAAAATTACATGAATTCTGAAGAGAACTCATGCAGGGGTTTTTTATGTTAAAGGTGGGGAAGGTGCAGGTTGCAAACAGTCTTGCATCTTTTGCAGTTTTATGTAATGCTGCTTATTGAATGTATTTCACTTGTAGCTTAGCTGTTTTTAAAGGTAGCAAGGATCTGTCTAAAACTTTTTTTTTTCATTTCCATTATGCCCACAGCTGCATGAGTCAGAGGCAGCTTCTGATGGCTGCAATGACTCTGAAAACACATCACCTTCGTGTACTATGCCTTCTGTGTAGTGATTCTAGTTAAAGATTTTTTGTGTGCTCCTCTCGACAACGTGCGAATGCTGCCTGTCAGGGCCACAGGTCAGCTTTGGAGGCCAGCTGAGAGCTGTAAATGGGTTCCAGTAGCCTGTCCGAGAGCCTGAGTGGGAGCGGGTGGAAGCTTCCGCTGTGCAGATCAAGGAATCCGTAGGTCGTCTTACATTACAACTTCCAACAAGAGTGGGCCACCATTTTCAATTCAGATTTCGTCTACCAAAGCAGATTTACTTTGCCCAGTCTAGGAAACCTCCTTTGGCAATTTCCTGTGCTGACTCGATTTCGGAGGCTTGTATACACGTCCCCAGTCATTCAATTATTCGAGGCCCCACAGTGAACACACGGCTGAATGGCTGTCAAATTTCCTGTCTCCACGTGAAATCTCTATCTGGTAGTTCAAATACCATTTGCAGGCATGCAGTTTTAGTTTCTGGGGATCGAGGTTTTAGTCTTCATAACTGTAACATCCTTTAGAAGAACAAGTCGAGTGTGTTTCTTGTTTGAAACAACCTGTTTTTTACTTTTTCTTCCCCGATTCGTAACATCAGTAGATTTTTACTTTTTATATTTGTACTAGTTTTAATTCAATTGAGATATGTCTTCAGTCTGCCTTTTAAACGTGAAGGAAATCTATTTATCCTTATTAAAGTTCCAAAGATACTAAGTAGCTTGTGAAATAACCTTTCAGAAATAAATGTTAGCTGTTTATTGAGGTGTGGATGGGGAGTCGAGGATAGAACAAAGTCTTGACACGTACTGTCTTCTAATGTGTAGCGCTTGCTATAAGGGCATATTTGGACCAGTCTTCCTCCTTCCTCTTTTGCAGAAAATTGAACTTGAATAAATAGAATATATGGCAGACTAATGGGATCACTTTCAATCGAAAACAATAGATGATGATAGAAAGAAGCTACTTCAGCTAAAATTATGCAGAAGGCTTTTCACCATAGTTTTTCATCCTTTTTTTTTTTAATTTCTCTACCGCTCTCCATAGTTATTAGTGCTCCTGTGCTGACATCATGGGCAATGGGGAGCAGCGTTCATGCCTTTTCCCCTTTGTCGGATGCTAAGGGGGCTCCTTTATTTGTCTGATTTGCAGAAAAATAGCTCTATATTTGTCCCTCGGAGAGCTGTAATTCTAGGATTTTGCAGTTTTGAAAATTGTTCTCAAGAGACTTCTGCCACATTCCTGGCTATTTATAAGCAGCGGATTTGGCACCCGCGATAAGTTAGGTTACCTTTATGAACTTGGCGGGTGAAGCCCGCTAAGAACTCCGTCTGAATTGGTGAACGTGCTTGAATAGCGTGCGGGAGTTGTCTAAAGGGAGGAAAACATTTCTCTTCCCTCTGTAGACATCCAGCGTGCTTGTCTTTGAATATCTGTAGTTAACTGGAAAAAAGCCCTAGAAATAGGAGTACGTCTTTCAATGTTCGAGCGAGCATGCACAAAAGCAGAAACAGTTAAAATGTTGGAGCAAGTTTTAAGAAGTTCCCTTCTGGCGTTTGCAAGGGCTTTGCAACGTCGCAGTAGCAGCTGGCGACACCGCTAGGTGTCACAAGCGCTGCAGGAGCCTCCGAGGTGACTAAGGGCCGGGTGGAAATTCAGCCGCGTATCGCGGCACTTCACATATTTCACTGTTTCCACATGGTGGATGCCAGAAAAATCTGATACAGTGTGATATATAGAAGCAAGGTACAACTGGAATAATGAAATTTCAAAAATAAGCCCTTTTTAAAGGCTCGTTGTAACAGTCCTGTTGGGCATTGTAAATGCCTCAGGTGCACTTGATACTGCTGTTACGTTCCTGGCTTTTGGTTCTAATTTTTATGGAAAGATGGATTGAACTTCAATTTAAGAATATTCGGTAATCCCTCTCAGGACATACTGTAACAGCTGGTATTTCTGTGTTGCAGTAAATCGATTCCATACAGCAGTCAGCAATACTTATGGCCGGGCTCTGACAAAAACTTCCAAAGCATTTTAAATAAAACGAGCCAAAGAAAATAACATCATCACTGCAAAAATGTAGCTTAATTTGCAAGTTAGAGAAAAAAAAAGAAAAAAAAAGCCCTGCTCCATTCCAACAAAATATTAAGCATTTTACTGGTAAGGATTTCATCAGGTCATTTATTTTTCATTAATGTATATTTAGGATCTGGGGGGAATAACTTAATGCCATATATAGGTTTCTTAAACAATAAGGAGTTTTGATTTTTTTTTAATATTGAACGATTTACCGTGAAATAAAGAAAAACGAAGAATAACATCGAATACTAAATACATGGCACATATGTAGATCAACAAGACTTTCCACACTTTGTGCTGAATATTTTTGAGGAACCTGCATTTCTAATGAGTAGTAGTGCACTGCGTTATTAGTGAGAATGCCTTGCATGCTTGAGGGGGGCTTTTTGAGTGCACAAAAGTACTTCGAGCTGCATATGAATCAAAAGTGTGCCATTAATAGTAAACCACTGTGTTTTAACTCGTCTTGCACATAAGAAAACTAGAAGTGCATCCGTCCTTCCTCAGGTTATAGTTGTGTGCTCACCGTGGGGACGGTGAGTGAGCCGAGGACGTGAGTTTTCCTTATGGAACTCGTATGCGTTGAAAAGAAAACAAACAGAAAGAGTGCAAAGTGAATGTGTTCTTTGTTAATTTGTACAGTGTGTCCCTGGCTACGAGGGGTTTTTTTGTTTATTTTTCTTTTTCTTTCAACTGCAGCCTGGCTTGCTTTGCATATAGATGTTTTACAACTTTTTCATCATAAGGAGATCTTTCGCTCTGAAGTACTTAACTTCCTTATCTCTGCATTAGATTTTGTTTAAATGTAAATTAATGGCGTTTGTACTGATTTGATAAATATCAAAATATGTTTTTTGAAACTCATGCATGTAAGTGAAAGGTTAGTTTTTTTTCTTCACAGCTGCCCCTCATAACTGAAAAAAAAATCTTAACAGATATGTATGTTTTCAAGTTTTATTCAGACCTTTTCATCATAAAAGAAGTTATTCAGGGCTGTAGCTTTTGCTGGTTTTGCCTTTTTTAAAAAATCCAGATTCACTGGGGTTTGAAAGCTGACACACAAAATCTTTCTTCTGGTAAACGCTTAAAAATACTTTAAATGTTGCCAGACTATTAAAGTGATTATACAGGGCTTACACCTTGGGGTGTGTTAGCAAGAATCTTCTATCAAATATAAATGTACTCTTTACTAAACAAAATCTTGTAAATGGCCTTTAGTGTTTTGCAATAGTTCTAGAAATCTAGGGGTTTTTTTTTTTTTTGGTGGAAAGCAGAATTTTGAACAGCGTACAGTGTTTACGGCACCTGTATATTACTCTTCCACAAGAATGTTGCCAAGTACAAATGGGTCCAAAATATTCACTTTCAGGGCCAAGATGACTTGAAAAGTCATTCTGATTAATATAAATGTGTTTAAAAAGAAAACAACAACAACAACAGAAGCTACAGCATCAGCAAAATTACCTCCTATTTGTTTATTTTCCTATGCTAAAGCAGAACCATGCTGGTTTCTTTCTTAAAGGATACATTTTGTTTTCTTGAATCTGGAGAAAATATCTTGTTTTCTTTAAGCTTCCCCTTCCCCCTTTCTTAACTCTCATTTTCTTTTCACGTGTTTGTTTTACAGTTTCCTATCTTAACATACCTGACTTTAAATACATTAATTTATATTTGAATTTGGTTTGTGCTTTCATTCCATTTGTTTTGAATTCTGCTCAGGAACTGGCTAAAAGAAAGACCCAAATTCGGTATCAGTAGGCCTGTGCAATAATTAAAAAATATCTCTTAGAGAAATTACTGTCACTTTGTAAGTAACAGATTACAGAAATGCTCCTTACGTGGTGTGCGTGATAATGGCTCCATCAACTCCATGACTCTAACTGCCATGCACTCCAGATGAGTGTCTGCCCCCATTCTGCTTTTTACAATTTCACTTAAAATTTTGATTATGTTTCCAGGAAACAAAAAATGTATGTCAGTTCTTAAACAAACAGAAAAGGATTGAAAGGTTAAGTAGAGGCCTTGAATAAATTAACATGATAGTAAGCAATTTTTTGGTGATAAAAGTATTAACAAATTTTCAGTCACTTGAATTGTTCACTATTTTAATGAAACTGCTTTTTATTTCCAAAATACCTGACATGCTAGAGAGTATAATTTATATGAGAGAAATGTATTAAATGATTTTTACAGTGGAATGGGATTATTAACTAGACTGAAAAAAGCAAAACTTGTTTTATCTGGGGAAAAAGTCTTAACAGTCATATAAATGCGAAGTCCTTTGTTGTTGTAATTGAGAGATTAAAATTAAATCAGAAGTTTATCTAGTGATAATGATTGGATTTGGTTAGCTACAGTAATTTACAGCTTAACAATGTTCTTAATTGTAAAATTCTGTTTCTGTTCTTTCTAGGAGAAACTGGGAGATTGCATAAATCTTCGTAGACAGCTTGGCTGCAAGCAGTTAAACTGAAATTAACTGCTGCCTTCTGGCTGCAGAGCACTAGTCTGACGTTCCTGTGTGATACTCTGCAGACTAAATCATGCCAGCGTTATCAGCTGGATCTGGAAGTGACACAGGTACGCAAGCCAACGAAGACTGCGTTTTTCCTCCAGATCTTATTTGTTAAGTCTACAGTCTCTGTCTTGAGGAATCATCAAATAAGATAATTAATTGTCATCTCAACAGATGCTTAAATTAACACTTTAAACGTAACCTTTTCTTCCTGAAGTTTCTATAAGTTTACTAAACACCACAGGTAAAACAAATTAATTCTAAAAAGTCCCACCATCTTCCCCCCAACCCCCAAAGCCCTAAAAGAAAAACTCCAGATTATATATGGATCTGAAGAATTTGGATCCACATCTGAGCGTGGTTCCTACAATGTTAACTTGAAAAAAGGGGAAAAAAAGGTGATATCATACATGCCTTAATATTTGCAGCAGTCTAGACTATCCCCTCTGTGAGTTACAGTTATCAGTGAAGTTATTTCTGAACACAGACTATTTAGTTTTGACACTTCTTTAAAAAATTATGAGAAAAAAAATACCGTCTCAAATTCTCTTCCTTCCCCCGCCTTCCACGTCAGAGTCCAGTTCCTATCATTGAGTGCAGGCAGTGGGAGCGCAGATATGAACATTTTATGTAGCTTTCGAAAGTTTAAATTTTTGTTTTGTGGCCATGGTAGTCTATATTCAAAGGTTTAGTTTCGTTTTGCTGTTATGTATACAGCCTCTGTATGGTGATATTTTTGTCCCTATTTTAGAGGGGGAACAACTAAAGTTAGTATCTTTATACAAGGAGACCTCGTAAATAGGTGTTCCAGCTAAGATTACAATACCAAGATCACTGCTTTCCACCCCTGTGCTTGTTGTTCTAGATCACATGCTATTACTTACTGAGTATAAAACTAAGATTATGAATAGGAAGAGAGAGATTTCAAGTCAGGAATCAAAAAAAAAAAAAAACACCGTACATAAGGAACTGCATTTGATTATTGTTTTAAATGGACAGGATAGTGCAGTGATTTTTTTTTTTTTTAAACACCTGAGATCCAGACAAAATCTCTCTAGATGAAAAGATTAATCTTTAGGATTTTTATCTGTGTCGGGGCAGGTTTAGGTGGGTGGGTGGGTTTTATTTGCTTTTTTTCTCTGCCTATTACTGTGTTTAAGGGATTTGACCTTATCATCTCCCCAAACCCTACCTCAACCTGTCTCCCTTTCTTTTTCTTCTTCTTCCATGCAAATAAATGTTTTACTTCTGTGGTGGTTGAAGCTGTTTAGTACACTCATGTTGAGTTTTGGAAAACTTGTCAGCGTCTATCCTGGGATGATCTTCCACTGTGGACCTTTGCTTCCTTCATAACACAGCCTTTTATGTCCTCCCAAAACCCTGCTGCAAACTTTTTAAATACTATTTGGCCAAATGCTTTCTGACGTTTCAGAAGTCCCAAGAACATATTAAGATGTATAGCAGGGGGATGTGTGATGATTGGTGCCTGATGCACACAGCAACGCTTGTTTTATTAAATGTTAATATGCTCATAAGTAATTGCAATGGGCATACAATCTCCAAGTAAAGAAATAAAATGGCTTGAACACATTGAAAAAAATCTTAAGTTTAAAATTGAAAGTGTTAAGTGTCTCTAGAAACACATTTTCTTGCACTATTTGATGCATGTAATGCTCAAAGTACTCATTTAACAATTATGGTATATGATAAAGCTCAACTATCCCTACACTCCTAGGATAGCTATAGTAAGATATGACATGCACCATTCATACCTTGTTACTTAACTAGTGTCATCTGTTTATTAAATCCAATTTGCTTCGCACTGCAAAGTGCATATTATTTCTTTCAGCAGAAACTTGGATTTGGAAGGAAAAGAGAATTTTTTCTTTCCTTCCCATTACTTTACCCCAGCTTCTGAAGGGGATGGTGGGTATTTAAGTATTTTTGAATGATTACATCAAATGGTGGTCTCTGTCCTGGTTATAATACAGACGGTTTCTAATCTGCAGCCAGATCTACCCCAGAGCCCGGTTTTCCTGCTATTACTCCCACTGTTAGATTACCAAAAAAAAAAAAAAAAAAAAATTGGATTTTCTTACCTCTGTTGTTCTCTGGTGGATAGACCATCTTTCCTCCTTCTCTTCCGTCCTGCCTGCATAAACAGGTGTTGTGGATGTTGGGAAGTGTAATGGACTGGAACTGGCTAATTCATGAGAGGATTCCTCCTGGAGTGCTGTGGAGTTAGCAAATTGCTTAGCAGTGACCTAAACAAAAATTTACCTTTAGGGTAGGGAAGGCAATTTCATTTAGTCTATCTGCTAAGAGTCTGTTTTATTAAAATGTTCAAATAGAACCCCAAGTTTACTTATTTTTGTGTTATATACTGATGAAGTAAAAGTAAACCTGGATGTTACTTAAAAAAAGACTGAACAAATTAATTGAAGAAAAATTCTTTGAGGGCTACTAAATACAAATACATCATCTGTGAATATCGGAAAGTTCCCAAGTCACGGACTTCTGGAAACTAGGACAGTATTATGGAAGCATTTATGATATTTTTATATTCTCAGCCAGCAGACCGCTGTCAAAAGCAGGATACTGTTCTCGATGGGCCACGTTTTGTCAGACTAAATGTCGACCTTCTGTAGATTTTGCCTGCTTTTATCTTGTCAACATACTTCAGGGATGTCACTGTGTCATTTCAACTGCTTCCTTAATCTTATATGTTATTACCCTGATCTGTCATCTTAATTTTAAGGCAGAAGTGAAAGACCCTAGTGTGTATATGCTTATGTCTCTTCCACTGTTTCCTCCACTAGCCATATAGAAACCTGTGTCCAGTATCTCCGTGATAACACTAGGGTATTCCTCTTGAAAATTTCACATTACCGACTAAGCAACATTTTTGATATCATTCTGCATTTAACTTCTGTTCAGATGCCTTTTAAACCAACATTGTGCAACTTGTTTCCATCTGAAAATCTTAAGAGTGTTTTTCATTTAACACTTATATGAATTACAGGCATGTGTGTGTGTGAATATATATATCTATGTATAAAATATATAAAATTTGCTATTTTACTTGTTGTTGATAATTGCCTGCATGTGTCTTACTCCTCCCTTAAGATTTATAAACCCCTCAGTGTCAGGTCAAAGTTGTTTTAAAACAACCATCTTGAATGGTAGCCTGAGCTCCTGCCTGAGGCTGTGTCTGAAGCTTTAAATATTGTCTGTGTTTTGCAAAAGCGTGCTTGAACTCTGTGTGCGAGCCCATCGGCTAGACTTCACTGCCTGAGAAAGAAACTTGCGCTTTTGCCGGTAAGGCGAGTCTATGACATCTAGCATTCTCTTATCTGATATATTTAGGAAGATTTAAGTTTGCAATGCTGGCTTTACAGTGGTTGATGGCAGTTTGATTACTGACTTCGTTGGAGCCAAGATGACATCATTATGCTTTGAGAAGCGTTGTTTCAGTGTGAAAAACATTGTAAAATTGTTACGGATTTCTTTCCTCTCAATTCTCTATTGAGTTTGCTCAGTCGACGAGTTTGAAAATGCTTTCCTGTTTGTCCTAAAAAATGACGAGGATGTGCGAAGCAGACTTTTTGTTTTTGCCTCATGTGTTCTC